CCATTAATATCGTCTTTGGCTTACTTGACTTCCTGGCCAAGTAACTGCACAAAATTGACCAACACAATCTCAAATGTGAGTCTAATATTTTTCAGCACTTCCCGTTCATGACCTAAGAGGCGAATATCGGTTACCGTAAATTGTGACCTCACTTTACATCTCCATGTACTTAGTAAAGAGAACACAGGGGTTTGTATAGACGAAGTAGGACGACTAGTTAGCTCCAGTTATGTTTATTATACCAACAGGAACAATGATAATGTGATGAAAGAGAAGACGGGGAATATGAAGAAAATGAAAGGAGTGAGTAGAAGAGGAGGAGGGGGTAAAACAACTAAGGGCACTCAATTCATCCGTCTTTCCCTATTTCGACATAGTGGACAAATGAAATTCGGAACACCACGATTGACTTCTATTTGCCTTCCAACGTTAGTGGAACTATAGATTTGATCCAATTCCAGTGGTTTTATCTTTTCCTAAAATGTAAGGTTATTAAAAGTGAGCATCATAACATACCTCTTCCACAATTGCACCACCAATTTCGTGTAGTATATTGATAGAGTCAAATGGTGTGCGGTCAAGAGGACACGTTCGATTAGCTTCAGACCACTTCTTGATGCAATCGTAACAGAAAATATGATCACATCCACCAAGCATTCCGATTGAGGCTTTCATTTCCTCTAGACATATGGAGCACTGATTTGTAGCTGGCATGACCCTGGGCATAATGACAAATGTCAATATTCTCTTGGAGAGAATAAAATTGACCAGGATGAATATAGCTCGACTCATGTTCCTCTCGTCCAATCACGTATTTTCAAGACTGCCAAATGAACACAACTGAGTGAATGATATCAAATGCAATCGATTCACTTATTTTTGCGGGAGCAATATTTCATGAGTTGGTTCATTTCATTCCCAAATTGCCAAAAGTGAATGAGGAGTTAATGGGACAGTGTGTTGAATCAACGAGATCGTAAACTGAATGTAATGGTGGGCAACCTCACACTTGATGCTCTGAACAAGGTCGGCGAATGCTTTAACGCCTGCAAAATGAGGCTTCAGTTCTAAAGTGGATGAAGCGCATGAGAATTTGTTGGATCTGGAATGTTCCCAGTGGATCTAATTGTAGAAATTGTATATATGCATCGATTTTACTCTTCTTCACGAAATTCCATTTGATGCTGTTGGACAAAATGTGTATCCAACACACCTCCCGTTTATGACCTAAGAGGCGAATATCGGTTACCGTTAATTGTGACCTCACATTCCATCTACTTTTACACACTTAAGAGAACACAGGGATTTGCATGGACGAAGTCGAGTGAGTAATTATCTTTATTTATGTTAATTATAACAACAGGTACAATAATAATGAGAAGTAGAGGAAGAAGGGGAGGTAAAAGTGGAAGATAATTAACGTGAACAAAGTAAAGGGAGAAGCCATTAACGTAATCCACAATTTACAGTTCTTCCAAAGTTGCTCTCTCTCTTTCACACATTCGCGGAAATGTGCGAGGTTCAGAAGAAGTGGTGTGGAACGGGGTGAGAGGAGAAGGGGGGGGGCGGGGTGGGTTAGGGTGGGAGGAGGGGAAATAGGACGACTCAAGCGCAAAGTATGTGAAATAAAAGTTCAATGTCTTCCTCGACGCATTACTTGATGAACCGCGAAAGACCTCCTTGAACAACTAAGTACACTCAGTGGTTTTGGATTCCACAATGCCCACAGAGTGGACAACTGCTAACTGCAAGACGACGACAAACATGGAAATGGCAACCAATATGAATTAGTCCACCACAAAGTAGACAGCAATACATATCTTCCTCTAGGACACAACCCTGGCACTGTGAACATAAGTAGATGCATTGCGAAATTCTTGAAGGCGAGGCGCTATGGAGCAGACTATTAGGTGAGGCTGCCAATGAAACGGAGTAATCGACGCCGTTGTCATCGTCATCGTCGTCGTCGGTGTCTTCGTCATCGGACGAAAAGCCAAGTAATCTAAAGACAACGTAGTTATCGTCGTCATCATTATGGTCATCGTAGTGGTCATTGTCGTAGTCGGTGTCTTCTTCGTCCGATGAATAGTCAAGCAAAGTACCAAAGAAACGGGAGATCAGGTCATTAATATCGTAGTCGTCAACGTCGTCACCATCTCCATAAGAACTATTGCTTTGATTCGAACTCCGTAGTTCTAGCTTTTCCTAAAATGTAATGCCATTTAAAGTGAGCATTATAACAAACTTCTTCCACAATTGCACCACCAATTTCGTGTAGTATATTGATTGAGTCAAATGGTGTGCGGTCAATGGGACACGTTCGTTTAGCTTCAGACCACTTCTTGATGCAATCGTAGCAGAAGATGTGTTTACATCCACCTAGCATTCCGATTGGGGCTTTCATTTCCTCCAGACATATGGAGCACTGATTTGTAGCTGGCATGACCATGGGTATAATGTCAAATGTGGTGCCAGGTTTCATTACACTTAAACAAACATAATCCTGACACAATAAAAACCATGCATTTGAGCATTACATTTTACCGACAAATGTTCATTCAAGCAGTTATCATAATTTAATATTCCCTTTAATTACAATTATTATTGTTTTTGTTAATATGTCTGTTATTTCTCATGATGCTATTTTTTGTCCACTCAGGTCAACCTAATAACAAGAATGAAAACACGAACATTAGTTTTCAGTTGCATCACTCAATTTAGAAGTTGAGTCCACCATTAGTAACTTATCTCACTTATGTGAATAAAAAATGAGCCAAATTTGTGCC